CTTTTAAATACTGTGTTCTCTCTATGATGCAGCACTGCCCATGGGCCTACTTTCCTCATCATCAGGGTGGATACCATCATCCCGTTTATCGCTCTTAACTATTAATGTCCTCAAGAATTTGGCCATGGCCTCCTGGACTCTTACCCACTTCCCCTCCACCCAGCCCTGGTGGTGGTGTATTCGAAAAGAAAGAAAAAGAAATAAAGCACATGAAATGGGTCAGTTTGGGGTCAATGGTAAAGGGGGTTTATGTTGCGAACAAATGTTTTAATGACAGTTGGACTGTAATCACTCCTTGCCATGTCTGGCACCAAAAACAAAATAAGAGAGAGAAAAAAAAAACACAAAAAAAACCCTACTGAATAAAAGTGACAAAGAATGGGAAAAAAAAAAGAATTTGGCCATGGGTGAGGTGTTTACGCTAAGGGATTAAAACCAAACATAATTCTTGAGCACTTTTTTCTTTCTCTAAATCTCATCCTTCAAAGATGTAACCTGACTGTACCAGCTATAAGTCTGGGTAGCCATGGAATGGGTATATTGAGGCAAGTGCTAGGGGATTTGAAACTGTGACAGATCATCTCTCCTGAGAGCTCCAGGATTCTGTGAAAAGAAGGGAATTGATCTTTTTTCCCTCAGGAAGACGGCATCCCCCAGAAGAAGCCTGTCTCGGGTGCGAGACTGGATTGGCACCTCCCACAGCATCACTAACCTGAGCCAAAAAATCAGCTTCGATGACCAGTGGGCTTCTGACTATGATACAGTGACCTTGCCACTCCCTCTCCCCCTCCTTCCCATACACAAACACACCTTCCTCTACCTTCCTCATATATAATCACACATGCACACCTGTACATTTCCCAAGCTACCCTAGGACTGATGAGGAGACAGTTTCTCTCCTCAAATATCCCTCAGGGAAATAGGGGAGAATTGAACCCCGTTCTCAAGGAGGCCCTGGTCTGATAAGGGAGAAACAGCCCCTGTATTTAGGGAGCCTCTGATCTGATGTAGGAAGCAGAGACCTCACCCTCAGCGAATCCTGATCTTATAGGGAAAGCCCCGTCCTTGCCTTCAGGGATTCCTCAGTCTGATAGAAGAGACAGCCTGTGTGTTTGGGGAGCATGAAGACTGATGGGAGTCGGTGGGGTGGAGAATGATTGTGTATGGACTCACACCAGATATAAAAAAGAAGCCTCCTCTGAGTGTAAACTGGTTTGGCTTGGGGGAGGAGGGTGCTACACTTATCTCCCCAAAACCATGTACACAAAGCAAGTGCTTCATAAATGTTTGTTGAATGAATATTGAAAATTCAGGATATTTCAACAATTCATGCTCACAGTCTGAAGGTCTATGGACCAGTCCAAATGTCCAGTCTGGTATTTCTGCTTGTGGGAGGTCACCATACTTTCAAAAGCACCAAGAGTGAACAAGGTGAATCGTGAAGCCTGCGAGGCCAGGCAGTCCCTCCTCTAAAGGGACATACCCTCTAGATGGTGATGTTAGAACTGGAACAGGTCTTTAGGGGTCTTTCATTTATCCCCTTTATTTCACAAAGGAGGAAACTGAGGCCCAGAGAGAGGTAGTCTCACAATAGATCACACAGTCATTCATAGCAGTAGCAATTTTCAAACCCTGGTCCTCTGATGCCACTCTCTGCTATTTCCATCTCTTACACACACACACACACACACACACACACACACACACACACACACACGCATGCACAGAAAGATGAATAACAATATCAGGCACCAATCTGTGTCCAGAAAGTGCTATCATTCCTAATTGCAGTTATGACATAAAAAGAAATTCCAAAGGGTAGAATGAACTCAGACATTCAGGCAAATTATACAGGTTTTTCAGGGTTGTTGGAAAGTAAACAGGGTGACTAAGGTACAAGGATGTTGGAGATGTGCACTGGAGAAATAGAAACACCGCAAGCCTTCATTGCGTAAGACGACTGGGCGACGAAGTCAGACTCCAGGCACATCAACCCTCCGGGGCCTGGGAGCCTTCTGAAAGCTGGATGAAACTGAGGGCAAGTGGCAGAAGCTGCCTGGCCTTACCTGATGTATCTGCCTGGGAGCCATCCCTCCCTACTTCCTTATTTCTGCTGGGAAAGCAGCTCATTGAATTCCATGGTGCATCACTTTTACCCAGAGCCTGGGCACATCTTTTTCTGCCTCCAAAAAGCGTGGGATCAAACAATGAGGCATGAAGCAATCGACAAGCATTTATGAAGTGCCTACTGTGTGCTAGGCAGTGAAGATACAAAGACAAAATCAGCCCGTGCGCCCACAGAGCTCATACCTTATCTTGTCTGACCCCTTTCTTCTGACCTCCAGTCGTCTGTTAGATGGATATCCCATAGACATCTTCAACTCAGTATGTCCAAGACTGAATCCATTATCCTTTCCCCAAAACCTTCTTCTCTTCTTAACTTCCTGAAGTCTTCATGACCCCATTTGGGGTTTTCTTGGCAAAGACACTGGAGTGGTTTACCATTTTCTTCTCCAGCTCATTTGACGGATGAGGAAACTGAGGCAAACAAGGTGAAGTGACTTGCCCAGGTTCAGTGTCTGAGGCTTGATTTGAACTCAGGAAGATTGTGTGTGTGTGTGTGTGTGTGTGTGTGTGTGTGTATATATATCTTGTTTGTACATAGTCGTTTTTGTGCATCTCCTCCATTAGTCTGTGAGGTTGTTGACAGAAGGGAGTATTTTGCCTTTCTTTTGTATCTCCAGTGCTTATCACAGTGTCAGGCACACAGTAAGTACTTAATAAATACTAGTTGATTATCAATCAGTTGACAAGCATTGTAAAGTGCCTACTATGTGCCAAACATGTACTAGATACTACAAAGACTAAAATAAAATTATTTCTAGGACCTTAGATTTACAACTAGAATGAACTCCAAAAGTTGCCTGGTCATGAAGTCATAGATTTTTTTGTTAGAAAAGGCCTTCGATCATTCAGTGCCACCCTGTTTTTTATTCATTAATGAGGAAACTGGAGGAAGGGGGTCATGACGGGGCCAACAGGTTTGTGACAATGAGTAAGTTTCTGCTGGACATTGTGATCTCTTCCTTCTTTTATCCCCATACTGCAATATTGTGAATTTTTTATCACAAAGATGAGTGAGTCTTGTGACTTAGAGATAAAGGAGACTGGCTTTGTAACCAACATGCTAGAACTTTGAAGCCACAGGGGAAAACCATCTTGGCTCCCTGAGAGCCCAGTGGTGGCGTGTAGTGAAAGAAGGGCTGAAAGGCCCTTTCTAAAAGCCCCGAAAACCCCAAAGAGGGCCCTGGCTCTACTCTGGGCCCATGTGACCTGGGCTAGACTTCTTTCCCAATCTAGGTCTCATCTTCTTCTATAAATGGTGGTGATGGTTGGGCTGACTCAGCTTCCTCATGTGTAAAATTAGGGGTTTGGGCTAGATGGCCTCAGAGGTCCCTAAAACTATGACTTCTGAGGATAGGGACAGGCCCCCACTAAGAGCATGAGGAGGGAGAATGGAGGCCATTCCCAGTAAAGAGTCCCCACCACGTTTTGAGCTGTTAGAAGAGTCACCCAACCGATGCAAAAGTGTCAGAGCCAGGTGGGTCCAATCCCAGAAGGCTTCCCAGAGGTGGGGGATTGATAAGCAGAGTGTGGATGGAGCTGCCTGGCAGAAAAGAGGATGGTCTCCACGGCCAGAAGGAGGATCTCTGAGATGGGAATGCACGTCTTTCTGTCCTACAGGGTGTGGCCATCCTGGATCGCCGAGCTCCCTGCCTGGCCGTGGGCTGCCTGGCCTCGGCCTTGCCCTCCCCTCCCCAAGAGTCTCTGCTTCTAGATGTGGCCGGTGCTACCGCGTGGGTAGCTGTTGAGGTCGGGGGCTCTTGGCCATTCTGATTCTCCCATCTTCCCCTATTTCTCAAGCTATTTATTCCCACGGCCCACTCACCTACCCCTTTCCTTACCTGCCCTCCAAGGTCCTTTCTCCCCTTCCTACCCACCAGCTCCAATCACCCCATGCTATTAGGAACATTCCCTGCCCCTTCCTCTTGTGGCCCTGGACATCTGCTAGGACAGACTCGGACTATCCAGAGATGCAGTTTCCTCTTCTCCCTACTCCAAAGACTGAGCCAGAGGTATGGAGGGTCTAGACCAGAGATCGGGAACCTTCAACCTGGAGGCCACCTGTGGCCCTCTAGGTCCTCAAGTTCGGCCCTCTGACTGAATCATAACTTCACAGAACCAAAGTTTGGATTCGGTCAAAGGGCCGCACTTGAGGACCGAGAGGGCCACAGGTGGCCTCAAGGCAGAAGGTTTCCCACCCCTGGTCTAGACAAAATGGGACAGGGGCAATAACAAAACCTGATTTCCATCAGCTCCAGAAATGAGGATTCTGCACCCTCCATGGGGTAGAGGGCAGCCAAAGTATGCTAGAGCTGGCCAAGAGGCAAGGCTTGTGCCAACAGCTGAGCCTCTGTATCCTGGGCCCAGAGGCCCTGCCTGCCCCTTCAGGTAATGTCTCTCTGTCACCAGCCTTGAGGCGCCCCCTTCCACCCCGAGCCACCATCTCCCGTACTAAGCTTCCATTCTCAATGCCAAGCCTACCACCTCCATCCCTGAGCCTTCATTCCCCTCCCTCTGACACCCACCCAATCCACTGACATCAGCCCCTTGGATGTAGCCACATCAATACTGTCTTCAGCATGAACCTGTCTCCAAGAGGAAGCCCTCTGTGGGGTTTTTCCCCACTTGGAATGTCTCCTTGGGCCTTAGGCCCGAACCTTCTTCACATATCAACCCTTCCCCCACTCCTCATCCAGACCAGCTTTCTCAGATCAAGCCCACTCTCTTTGCTCTGGGCAACAAAGAGAAATCTATGAGTGGGGGAGCAAACACCTCCCGGGCATGGGGGATAAGAGAAGGTCCAGTGTCAGTAGGGAGGGCTGACTGTCTGCCTCTTTGCTTCAGATCATTATGATGCAGTGATGGTTGTTGGCACCCTCAGTGATGGGCAGGTACCATACAGTGCAGTGTCTGAGCTCCTCCCGTCACTAAGTCAAGTGAGATCTATCAGCCAATACACACCTGAGGACGAGGATTCTAGGACCCAAGGGGTTTGTGGGGAGAGACATAGAACTGTGCTAGGATGGACACCAGACCCCCTGTCCTCACTAACTGATTGCTAGGGCCTAAGATACTACCCTGAGTCTTCAACCAGGTACCAGAAGTGGGGATCAAAGGGGAACATTACCCGGACCTTCAGGTAATGGCTTTCCGTCCCCAGCATGGAGCCCCTATCCCTGACTTGAAGCAAAACCCTCCAGTACCAGGCCCCCATTCTCATCCCCAAGTCCCCATCTGTCGGGGGACAGCACCTTCTCCATGAAGCCTTTCCTGGTCCCCTCAATAGCTAGTGACTTTCCTACCAAACTGCCATGTATTTAGAGACCCTGTGTTTATTTGTATTTATTCTCTTTATATTGATTCTGGAGAGAGACAGACAGACAGACAGAGACAGAGACATGTATGCATACATATGCACTTCTTGTCTCCCTCATTAGAAAGAAAACAGAAAACTCCTTGAGATTAGAAATCATTATAATTTTGTGTCCCCAGTACCTGACACATAGTAGGTGTTCAGTTGAGTAATGTATATATATGTATACATAGTATCTTGCCAGTAGAATTTAAGCTTCTTAAAGGCAGGGACTGTTTCATAGGTGGTGCAGTGGATAGAGGGCTGGGCTTGGACTCAGGAAGGCTTGAGTTCAAATCTAGCCTCAGATACTAACTGTTTGACCAAGGTCAAGTCACTCAACTTCTGTCTGCTTCAGTTTCCAGCTATTGTGTGGGGATAATAACAGCACCTCCCTCCCAGAGTGATTTTGAGAATTAAATGAGAGAATATTTGTTAAGTGCTTTGCAAGCCTTAAAATGCTATTAAAATGTTAGCCATTATTATAAACCATGGTGGTTATTTTGTCTTTTTAACCCCAGAGCCTAGCAGAGTGCCTGGCACACAGTAAGTACTTTTTGATTAATTGATTGAGAGAGGACCAGAGCCTGGGTTTAGGTTTAGATGGTTTAGGGCTTGGAGGCCAAGGATCTCCACGGCGTCATGAGGCAGGCACTAGGAACCTGGAGACAGGTTCTCCTCTCCACCTGCTGAGGGGGACCGTGGTTGGGGTCTGTGCTTGGAGTTCGCAGACACATCCAGTCTTTCTTCAGATGTGGCAATGCTGAAAAATAGGGGACAACTGAAGCTGGGAGGGAAGGAATGACAGTTCTTCTATTGGGAAGGGAGGCTAATGTTGAGTCCTGCTGTTCTTATGATGAGGGTCCCATGGACCCATGGGGAAGACAGTGATGATTTTGGCCTACACAACTCCAAAAGAGATTCTGGAAAAATTGAGAAGGGGAGGGAGGAGGGAACCAGGCACCATGCTAATTACTTTACAAACATTATGTCAACAGCCTCACAACAACTGTGGGAGCTAAGTGCTAATTAGGAACTCTGATTTAATACAATAATCAACCACGATTCCAAAGGACTCACAGTGAAACTCACTGCCCACCTCCAGAGAGATACCTGATGAACCTGATGGGGAATCAGAGTTCCCCATTTTACAGTTGAGGAAACTGAGGCAGGCAGAGATTAAGTGACACATTAAGGGAAGCAAAAGCCCAGAAAAAAGAGGTTGGTCAGGAAATTGTGTGTTGAGGACTTAAAAAAATACGAAAGGAAGTTAAAGACAAGAAGAACCTTCCTAATGTTAGGGAAGGGATTTTGTTTGGTGGGGAAAAGGGTCTATGGAAAGACCCTCCATGGGGAATATTGGGAAAGGCCAGATATTGCCCAACTGATGAAGGAAGTAATCTGCAGCCTAATCTCCGTTACTAGGAAAAATATTTGCATTGAGCTACTAACATCTGGTCTTTAAATTTTTAAATTAGTTTGTTGACATTCTGGTCCTGCCCCATAACAGACCTCATGGAACCTTGATTTGATTTTGTTGAATCATGGACATCAAGAGCTGGAAATGAACCTTGGAGATGACCTCATTCAACCGCTTTGTTTTACGATTAAGCAAACAGAAGCTTAGAGAGGGCGGTGAATGACTTGTCCTGCGTCACAGAGCTGGTAATGATGAAATGAAAGCTGGTGTCTCCTGATTCCTATTACACTGTACTCTGGTTACTGTATGTTTGCCTTTCTTATTATTTACAAATATTTTTGTTGTTGGTTAGTTGATGAATCATGTCTCGCTCTCCGTGACCCCATTGGGGGTTTTCTTCGCAGAGATACTGAGTGGTTTGCCATTGCCTTCTCCAGCTCCTTTGACATATGAGGAAACTGAGGCAAACAGCCCGGACTCAGAACTCAGGGTTATAATTTGTGATCTGGGTTGATAAAAGCTCCCACACAGACAAAATCATAGATCCTCAATATCCTTATATAAATAAAACTCAGAGTGGTGAATTTGCTGAATTACTGTTGGGTGGTATCATTTAAGTATAAATACATATAGCTTTATAAGCTGTACATACATACCATATGTATTATATATGATCCATGTATTTAAAGATTTCTCTCCTTTTTGGCCTTTTCTCCCCACCTGACCTTCTAGTGGGGGTCATTTCACCTCCATGGGTGACTCAGTTGTCTCATCTTTAAGATGGATTGAATTGAACAACCATCAAACTCCTCTCCTGTTATAAATCTATGACCCTGTGACTCAGTGACCTCTGCAGTCTCTTTCCACTCTAAGATTCTGTGAGGCACAGAACCCTACATCTAGACTTCTAAGCACATCCACTTTAATCCTCCTATTTTGCAGAAAAGGAAACTGAGGCCCAGAGAGGCTAGGTGACTCATATAAAGTACTACAGGGAATGGGTGTCAGAGGCAGCTGTATTTGAACTCAGGTCCTCTGACTCCAGGATCAGTGCCTTTTCCCTGTACCACAGTGCCTCTCCAGTGCTGAGTGTGGTATTGTAAATTCCACTGAATGGAATCCCCAACATCCCAGAGACCTGAGATCAAAGCCTAGCTCTGCTGCTTGTTACCTGGGTGGCCTGGGCAATTATACTAGTAGCTTACATTGCCTTAAGATCTGCAAAGCATCTCACAAATACCTCATTTGATCCTCACAACAACCTTAGGAAGTATTATCCCTATTTTACAGATGAGGAGACTGAGGCTGGGAGAGGTCACAGGAACAGCCCGGAATCACACAGCAAATAAGTGGTTGAGGCAGGACTTCCTGAGACCAAGTTCAGAGCTCTCCCCACTACACTTGTTTTTCTCTTTTTTTCAAATTCAATTTTATTTTCAATTCCAAATTCTCTCCCTCTTTCTTCCTCCTCCCCTACCCATTGAGAAGGTTTTAAAAAATTACAAATATGTATAGTCATGCAAAACAAATTTCCATATTAGCGGAAGGAAGGAAGGAAGGAAGGAAGGAAGGAAGGAAGGAAGGAAGGAAGGAAGGAAGGAAGGAAGGAAGGAAGGAAGGAAGGAAGGAAGGAAGGAAGGAAAGAAGATACACTTTAACCTGCACTGAGTTCATCAGGTCTCTCTCTGGAGGTGGGCAACATGTTTCATCATGAGTCCTTTGGAATCATGGTTGGTTATTGTATTAAATCAGAGTTCCTAAGGCTTTTGAAGTTGACCATCTATACTTAGCATCTCTGGTCTTCAGTTTCCTTATGTGTAAAATGAGATGTTTGGACTCAAGAATTTCTAATGTCCTTTCCAGCTCTTAAACTACATGGTCTGGTCTGGTGTACGTGATGAAAGTCCTTTCAAATGAATTCAGAGAAGAGGTGGCTATGAGCTGGGATGGCTAGGGAAGCCCCTCAGAGGAGACAGGCCCTGAAGGACCATGAAGAGCTGAACAAGTGCAGAGAAATTCAGGGCAGTGGGCTCGTGGTGAGGGGTAAACAAAGGCCCAGAATCAAGAAACAGCATGGAGCCAGAGTTGAGTATCAGTGACCACCAAGCCTGGAAAAATAGGGTAGAGCTGAGTTGGAGGAGTGTGCAACTGGACTATATCATTATAGTCCTATAAACACATTACAGTCCTGTAGGACAACCATCTGGTAAATCTGCAGATGTTCCATAGCGAGATTTTCTGGGTTCTCACCAGAAGCCAACAAGCTGCTCCTAGCTGCTACGTGAGACTCCCAAACATGCCTTCAGTTACTGTCCCAGGTGACTGATGGTACAACCTCAAGAATTTTTGTACCCCTGGTGGCTAGGCGTTGGCTGGGGGCCGGAGTTAGGGTGCAAGGGATCTCACTAGACCAGTATTTACAAAGTATCTACTGAACAAAGTACAGGGTGAGATAAAGGCTCCAGGTGAGGCATTTCCTTATCTCTTCCATATGCCTTCCTTATTTCTCCTTCAATCTAGTTTCCCCTTGCCAAAATACCTTCCCCCAACTATCCAAATCCTACCTTAGTGCAAATAGTTTGTGTGAGGAAATAGGATGAACAGTGGATTCAGTAAAGAGACCTGGATACAAATCCTGCTTTTTCCATTTATTATGTGACCTTGGGCAAGTGGATTTAAATCCTGGTTTTTCCATTTGTTATGTGACCTTGGGCAAGCGTCCCTATCTCTCTGGGCCTCTGTTCCTTCCTTGGAAAAATGAGAGGGTTGGACCATGGTTGTGTTTCCTGAAGTCTCAATCCCTCTAGGAAGATAATTTCATTACAGATGTTGGGGTCAAAAGACCTAAGCTTCAATCCTTGCCTTAGACACTTGTGAGCTGTGTGACCTTGGGCCTGTGTGACCTGGCTACTCTGGGTCTTATTTTTCCCAACTGTATAAATCACCTGGTTGGATCGGCAGTCTCTCAGATAGATCCCTTCAGGCGCTGAGTTAGATGACTTTAAAGTTTCACCTCCTCTGGGAAGTCCTCTCTGACCACCTACTGGCATCTCCTTCTCCCTCTTCTGATCTTGTAAGAATGTCTTGATTTTTTCCTTTTTGGTTTGTTAACCTCTTTTGGGATGCAGACCTAGTAGAGGTATTGCTAGATCAATGAGTATACATGGTTTTATGGCCTTTTGGGCATAGTTCCAAATTGCTCTGTAGAATGGTTGAATCAGTTCACAACTCTACCAACAGTGCATGAATGTCTCATTTTCCCCACATCCCCTTCAACATTACCTTTTCTGTCCTATTAGCCAATCTAATAGGTATGAGTTGGTGCCTCAGAATTGTTATAATTTGCATTTCTCCAATCCATAGTGAGTTAGAGCACTTTTTTCATATGGCTATAGCTAGCTTTGATTACTTCATCTGAAAACTGTTCATTTTTTTTTATCATTTATCAATTGAGGAATGGCTCTTATTTTTATAATTTGACTCAGTGCTTGGTATGTTTGAGAAATGAGACTTTTATCAGAAAAACTTGTTTCAAAATTGTTTTCAGTTAGGATTGCTAATTTATTTTCCCTCCATCCTATTCCCCTTCATTTATTCTATTCTCTCTCTCCTTTCACCCTGTCCTTCCTCAAAAATGTATTCTGACTACCCCCTCCCTGACTCTGCCTTCCCTTCTATCACTCCCTGCCTTCTCTTACCCCCTTCCCCTCCTACTTTCCTATACGGTAAGATAGATTTCTATACCCAATTGAGTGTGTATGTTATTCCCTCTTTGAGCCAATTCTGATGAGAGTAAAATTCACTCACTCCCTTCCATTGTAAAAGCTTTTTCTTGCCTCTTTTACATGAGATAATTTACCCCCATTCTACCTCTCCTTTTCCTTTTCTCCTAGTACATTTCTCTCTCACACCTTAATTTTATTTTTTAGATATCATCTCTTCATATTCAACTCACACCTGTGCCCTCTGTCTATATATACTCCTTCCAACTGCCCTAATAATGAGAAAGTTCTCATGAGTTACAAGTATGGGGGGGGCGGGGGGGGCGGAGCCAAGATGGCAGAGGGAAAGCAGTGACTGTCTTGAGCTCTCTCCCAAAGCCCTCCAAATACCTAAAAAAAATGGCTCTAAACAAATTCTAAAGCAGTAGAACCCAGAAAAAGACAGAGTGAAACAAATTTCCAGCCAAAGACAGCCTGGATGGTTGATCGGAATGATATATCACGCCGGGAGGGGAGAGGAGCATAGGTTGGCATGGGCACGCAGGCCGCAGCAACCCTGGAGCAGGCCTCAGACGACTGAATTGTGGGCAGCTGTGGCTGTTTCCAGACTTCTCAACCCCTGAACACCAAAGACAACTTAGAAGGTCAGTGGGAAAAGTCTATGACTGCGGTGAGAGAGGAGCTAGGTCTCAGCCGCAAGTCTTGAGCACAGCCTGAGACAGCGACTGTTTCCTGAGCTTCTGGACCACAGACTGAGGGGGAGTCGAGTTGCTGATCAGAGGGGGATTGCAAGGATCACTTTGCCAGTGCTGAGGCAGGAATCTCTTGCTTTGCCAGTGCTTGGATCTGGATCACAGTTCTGAGGGGTGGTCCTGGGGCTAGGAGGAATGCTGGTGTGGTGAAGCTTGTTGTGGCTGTGGAGAGGAAACACCTCACCCCTTATCCTACTACCTTGGAAGAACTGAAAATTTACAGGTCCCTAGAAGTACCTCTGAAAACAGCTGTACGAACCCTCGAAGCTCGGAACAGTACATCCTCCACATTGGAAACAGACTTTTACCTTAACAAAGAATTTAAAACTCAAGTAATTGTCCGGGATCATGAGTAAGCAGCGTGAAAAGAGTCAGACTATATTATCTTACTTTGGTGACAAAGAAGATCAAAACATACAAACAGAAGAAAATGAAGCCAACGTTCCTACATCCAAAACCTCCAAGAAAAATATGAATCAGTCCCAGGCCTTCGAAGACCTTAAAAGGGATTTTGAGAAGCAAGTAAGAGAAGTAGAGGAAAAACTGAGAGTGATGCAAGAAAATCATGAAAAACAAGTCAACAGCTTGCTAAAGGAGACCCAAAAAAATACTGAAGAAAATAACACCTTAAAAAATAGCCTAATCCAAATGGCAAAAGAGGTCCAAAAAGCCAATGAGGAGAAGAATGCCCAAAAAGTGAGTTACAAGTATCATCTTCCCATGTAGGAATGTAAACAGTTTAACATTATTAAGTCCCTTATGATTTCCCTTTCCTGTTTGCCTTTTGCTGCTTCTCTTGATTCTCGTATTTGAAAGTCAAATTTTCTATTCAGCTCTGGTCTTTTCATCAGGAATGCTTGAAAGTTCTTATCCCATTGAATATCCATTTTTTCCTCTGAAGGATTATACTCAGTTTTGCTGGGTAGGTGATTCTTGGTTGTAATCCTGGCTCCTTTGCCCTCCAGGATTTCGTGTTCTAAGCCCTCCAATCCTTTAACATAGAAGCTGCTAAATTGTATGTTATACTGACTGTGGTTCCATGATACTTGAATTGTTTCTTTCTGGCTGCTTTTAATATTTTGTCCTTGACCTGGGAGCTCTGGAATTTGGCTAGAATATTCCTGGGAGTTTTCATTTTGGGATCTCTTTCAGGAGGTAATTGGTGGATTCTTTCAATTTCTATTTTACCCTCAGGTTCTAGAATATCAGAGCAATTTTCCTTGATAATTTCTTGAAAGATGATGTCTAGACTCTTTTTTTGATCATGGCTTTCAGGTAGTGCAATAATTTTTAAATTATCTCTCCTGGATCTATTTTCCAGGTCAGTTGTTCTTCCAATGAGATATTTCACATTGTCTCCTATTTTGTCATTCTTTTGGTTTTGTTTTATTGTTTCTTGATTTCTCATAAAGTCATTAGCTTCCATTTGCTCAATTCTAATTTTTAAGGAATTATTTTCTTCAGTGAGCTTTTGTACCTCCTTTTCCACTTGACCAATTCTACTTTTTAAGGAGGTTTTTCTTCAGTGAATTTTTGTGCTTCTTTTTCCAGCTGACCAATTCTGCTTTTTAAGGCATTCTTCTCCTCATTGGCTTTTTGGACCTCTTTTGCCATTTGGCCAAGTCTGTTTTTTAAGATGTTATTTTCTTCAGTATTTTTTTGTGTCTCCTTTACCAAACTGTTGGCTCGTTTTTCATGATTTTTTTGCATCACTCTCATTTCTCTTCCCAAATTTTCCTTTTTGAGCTCTTCCATGGTCTGAGATCAATTCATGTTTTTCTTGGAGGCTTTGGATGCAGGGGCTTTGATTTTGTTATCTTCTTCTGAGTGTGTATTTTGATCTTCCTTGTCACCATAGTAACTTTCTAGGGTCAGCATTTTTTCTGTTATTTGCTCATTTTCTCAGCCTATTTCTTGACTTTTAACTCTTTGTTAAAGTGGGGCTCTGCTCTTAGGGTGGAGGCGTACTGTCCCAGGCTTCAGGGATTTTGTGCACCTGTATTCAAAGATACTTCTAGGGTTTTGAAAGTTTTCCGTACTTCCAAGGTGGTATGATCTAAGGAGATGTGTATTTACTACTCTCCTGGCCTGTGCTCTAGTCTGTGAGAGACCATAAGCACTCTTTTCTAGCCTAGAACTGTAAGGAGGGTCCTCACTTTACTGTGGCTGCAAGCTCTGGTGTGCTGGTTAGAGCACCTTCTTGCCCTGGGACTGCCACCCAGGACTGTGACCCAGATCTGAGTATTGCAAAGCAATAGAATCCTGCCTCAGTGCTAGGAAAGAGGCCTCTAGAATCACATTCTGAGCAGTTGTTCCATCTCCTTACCATCTATGGACTAAGAGCTCAGGAAGCAGCTGCTGCCACTGCTAATTCAGTGGCTCCCAAGACCTGGTCCTGGTTTGCTGGGGCTGGGGCTGTGTTGGTGCAGCCTGTGATGCACTATGCTCCACCCTCATCCAAACGCAACAGACCTTTCCTGCCAACCTTCTAAGTTATCTTTGTTTGGAAAATTATTTCACCCTGTCCTTTCGCAGACTGCTTCAGAAATTGCTTTATGGCATTATTTAAAGGCATTTGGAGGGGTTTTAGGGAAAGTCCAGGGGAGTGGCTGCCTTTTCTCTACCCTCTTGGCTCTGCCCAAGAATGTCTTGTTTTGTGACTTAACTATCTCATGTGACCCTTGCCTCTTGGGCTACACTGTGAGCTCCCCAAGAGACCAGGCTCCCATTGGCCAACTTAGAGTTGGGCGTGCCTTCAGCACTCAGTAAAGGCAAGATGAAAACTACTTATCCTTGTGGGGGAGTGGGGAGATGCCTGGAGATCAGGCTCAGAGAGCCCTCTCCATCCTTCTCTCCTCTCAGGGGGTCTGGTATGTCTCACCACCAGAGTCAACTCTTCAAATCTGCCCTACGCAGAGCTGGCCAGACTGGAGCAGGCTGGGGAATGGAAGCAAATTCTAGTCCACACTGAGGATTGGTGGAAATGGGTTACATCAGAGAAAGAGGCTACAGGCTCTGTAAGCAGCAACTGTGGCTTCATCCCTGGGGTTATCTACCTCTATTATAAGCAGGAAGCTACCCCAGCCAATGCCATTGGGGTCTAATGGGCTGTAGGCAGAAGACCATGGGCCACTGGTCAGCTGTATGGCCTCACACAAGTCATTTCCAGAGCTTAGCATGATGCCTAGCATATCGTAGGCACTTATAAATATTGATTGATGCCTCAGTTTGATTTTTCTCATCTGTAAAATGAGGGACAAATCAACCCTGCTCTGGTCCCTCAGACATGGTCTGCAGATACAATGAATTAAAAGAGGGACACACAGTTTGAAAAATTAGTAGTTAAAAAAAGATAAAGAAAAATTAGTGGCATGTAAATTTGAGACCCAATTGTTATTTATTTTTTTTAAAATAAAAGCTAAATCAGTGTCTACCACCCGGATTCTAGTCCTAGGTCTGCCACTGACTTAGCTGTGTGATCTTAGACAAGTCCCTTCCCCTCCCGAGCCACAATTTTCTCTTCCTGGAAAACAGTGGGCAATGGAATCGGACCGAACAGTCTCTAACTTGTCTCTAGTTTCTGAGAGCATGTGGTTCTATGATCTTGCTGAGCCCAGGTCCTACTTGTCAAATCCTTCACAACATTATGCAATGGACATGGTATGTGGTATAATTTGAGGGCAGTCCCACCATTGCTCAAATATCTCCCCCACCACCTGTCATTGGCACCTGAAATTCCACCATTAAAGAGTTTGTGTAGAAGGGGGAGTGCTCAGAGGTATCCACAGATTCATAGATTTAGAGCTAGAAAGGACTTGAGAAGCCATCTAATGCAGTTCCTTCATTTTACAAATGAGGAAAGTGAGGCTCAGAGGGGTTGTGATCTACCCAAAGTTACCCAGATAAAATGTGACCAGGATTTGAACCCAGGTCCTCTGATTCCAAATCCCAGTGCATCAATTCCACGCATTCTGTAGTTCCATTCATTCTGACTCTAAGACAAGGGAATTGACATGCCCCAAGCCATGGAAGATTTGAACCTTAAATCACCTCACTCCAAATTCAGCATTATTTCCACTTCACCCTACTGATCCCATCTCATTAAATGACTTAGTTTTATAAATAAGCAAACATACCTTCTGTAGATCAAATAAATCATCTATCTCAAACCCATCTATGACTATTATCCAAATGTATGTAGCTCCTGCTGCCATTAAAGTGAGAATTAAGAAGCATTACTGACTTCACAGAAGCCTTTTGTCATTAGGGATTTTCTCCTCCAGTGGATAATGATAGGACAACTATTCTTATGTGAGATCCATGCAATTATTTTGATGTTGGAAGGAGGGAGAGAAGAGGGTTAGGAAATTCACTAGGTTAAGGTATTGACTTTATGAAGGAGGGAGGGGAAAAGGGAGGAAGGAGGCAGCAAGTGATGGTAGCCTGGGAGAAAGGGAGGAGCCTGAGAGGCTGTGGAGGTCAGACCCACAGGACTTGGCAATTGTAGGAAGCCAGGGCAGGAGGTGGGGGGGGCATACAAGGCGTACTGCCAAGAATGCTTTATGCCCCCTCCAAGCCCTCCCACTCATCAAGCCCTCACCTCTGGCGCCTTCTTGATCCCCTGGCCAACATGGATTTCTCTGAGTTGTTCTATTTCAGAAGTCATTGCCAACCCCTCCAGGCAAAACATTCTCAGGTTGGGGGTAAAGGGAGAGGTTACAGCTGAAGGTGCACCAGAGGCCTGGGGTGGGGGACAAGTTGGAAGACTCTCCTTCCTGGGTAGGACTGGGTTCCCGAAGGTTAACACTCCCCTTCCCCCCCCCCCCCCCGCCAACCTCATCCCCAGCCCCGTGCCCGCTAATGCAGACCTGGTGATTCAGACCCATTCATCCAAAGAGAGAGGGGCGGGGCAGGGACAAGCTACTAGAGCCAGCTAGAATGACCGATGAATACTCCCCAGTGCCTACTGGGACTCCAAAGGCAGCCTGGCAACCCCTGGGTCCAGGCTTATCTCATCACTCAGGATGGGTGAATTCAAAGGCACAGGTAGCTTATTCACCCTAGGTTCGCATTTCTCCTTCTCTGTGCGCCCCTGTGGAAAATCTCAGCCAGGGTTTGGGGGTTGGCCTGGACAGCTCCTGCCTTCTGCAAGCCGACTAATGGATTGCTCAGATGCCAGTAAGACAACACAAAACACAGACGACTTTTTGTATATTTTTTTAATGAGCGATTATGTCCACACAGTTTGTACGTTATTCAATAAACTCAGTTAGCTTAGTTCCATTGGGTGTGCCTGTCTCTGTTCCTTGATCTCCTGAATCCAACACACCCCTTCCATCCCTGACACGGAGTTTCTATCCTTGTCAAAATCCTGAGCCCTGAGTTCCTTCACACTGACCCTGTAACCCTGACACTGTATGTGTGTGTTCTCTCTCTCTCTCTCTCATTCCTGGTGCTTAGTGCTTTTCCCAATACTGAGCCTGACACCTTGATACAAAGTTCCTTTCCCCAGGACTGAGCTCCCATCTAGTACTGAGCCCCATCCTTAAGTCCTCCATCCCAGGAGGCACAGACCTTTTCATTACTTTCCATGAAGCTATCCAGGAGTCCATAGAAATCCACAAACACATTCGTAAAGCCCTGCCCCCCTCACCCTACACTCATTCCTACTTTTGACCTGTGACCTGTGGCCACACCTGACACACTTGGTCCTGTGATGTCCCTAGTTACAGTTCAAGAGTACGGAGAATAGGCCTGGTGGGACTTGATGGTTTCTAAGGTCCCTTCAAGGTAAAACAAACCAACCAACCAACCTATGATTCTATAACTCAATGAAGGCAGAATTTGAAGAGTTCGCCCCCCGCCCCAGGATAATGGAACATGTGCTTGGAAGAAACTGGGAGAGAGCTCATGTCCAGCAGGCTCTTTCCTAGAACACCTGGAACCCTAGATCCAATTCCAAATCTAGTTTATTTGGGTTATCCCAGACAGCTGAGATTCAGGTTGTCTCACCAGGCCCCCAAATACTTCCTCCTTCTCCTAACTCTTCCTCTCTCACCCTCCACCTCCACCTCCACCCCATCCCTTCCACCCCAAAATTGAAATCAGAAAGCCAAGAGGAAATGCTTCCATGTACAGATCCAGTTTATTGTAGAAAATAATAATTACAATGTATGGATACTTTTAATTACAAAACAGAAACATTATCCTAGGCAGGAAGCTGCCCAAAACCATGGGGGGAGAGGGGAAACAGAGAAATGCCTCTTCATCTGCACTCACTACTCCCCAACCCACCCAAGTCCTAGCTCCTCAGAATCATCTTCTCCAGGGCTCTGCCCTGCCCTGCTCCCCCCATATTCTAAAGTTCAGTTGCCCTGAGGTGGGAGGGAGCCAGTCACCTAGGGTTCTGGGGAGGGAGAGGTTCAGGGAGACCAGGGATTCTGGAAAGTCCCGTCCCCGTTTGTTTGTCCTGAGAACTTTGCAAACAGGGAAATGGGAGAGAGCAGGGAGGAGACAAGGTGAGCCACTTCCCCCCTTGGGCCTGCCTCAGTCACCCACCTCCCAAACCAGTTGGCCCACTTCGGGGCTCTTGTCACTAGGGCAGAGATGGGAGACGGGGCTGGGCCACCTGAACTATCCCCTGCCTATCCAAGATGCTGAGTTTCAGTGAGCTGCTGGAGTGGGCGGGCTCCCTGCTTCCTTAGAGAGGGCCCCTCTGGGACCCTTTTACTTCTAGAGGAAACTGCAGTACAAAAGATGAACCCTCATAGATTAGAGGGAAAAGGAGGAGATATGGGGACCACGGAGGATACATACAGGATTGGAAATGGGTTTGCGGATGTGCCCATTTGAGGGTACGTACACACACACACACACACACACACACACAGAGTCCAGGAGGACGGGGGGGGGGGGGGGGGGGGGGGGGGGGGGGGGAGGGAACCAGCCAGCACTGACTGTGACATTGAGCCCCTGGCTAAAGGATCTCTTCCTTCTCCGTTTCCAGGAGCCCCCAGGCAGTGGAGTGGGATCTCAGCCAGCTCCACCAACAGCTCTTCTTTCTCTTTCTGGGAAACTGCACGAACAGCTTCGGTCTTCCAGAAAGGCAGGGCCCTACTCCCGCCCCCCAGCCCACTCCCTCTGCGTTTCTCAGAAGAGAAAGCCCTAGGTTTCCAGGCACCCCCAGAAGGAGTCAGGTGAGGGTGTTTTTGAGAGAAAGGAGGACCCGGAGGGGGCACCCCAGCTAGAACAGGTGACATCCCCCCGGCATTGTTTGGTTGCTGATTCCAACAGGCACCAACCCACCCTTACCCTCCCACCTACCCAGACTCCAGGCATAGGGAGACAAACGGGCTTGGGCCAGGCTCTCTGTCCAAGGGAGAGTCCAATCTCTGTCAAGCGTCGGGGCCCAAACAGTCAGGGAGAACGGAAGGAAAAAGGATGTATCCAAGCAGGGTCCGGGTAAGGAGGTGGGGGCGAGGAAGGACAGCCACAGCAGGCCTCACCGCCCCTCTTCCCCTTCTGTCCAGTGTCCTCCCGATACTCTCTACACGTAGTTGCTGGTGGGGGCAGAGCGGGCAGCAGTGTACTTAGCTGAATAGGACTTCTCACTCCGGGGTGGGCAGTTGCAGCACAGCAGAGCCCCTCCAAGCATGAGCAGGCCTGAGGCAGCCCAGCCAATGTACAGAGAGGCACCCATCTCCCTCTTCTGTCCAGAGGCCACCAGAGGATTGTAGAAGTCCCGGATAACGTTGTGGGCGGTCCAGGAAGTGGGAATGATGATCAGGATGCCAGCCAGGATAAAGACAACGCCGGCCACGATCATGGTCTTGGCCTTGGAGGTCTCGTCCTCCACACAGTTGGTACACTTGCCACCCACCAGGGCCAGGAGGACGCCGAGCGCTGCCACGATGATGCAGATGACCACTAGGGCCCTGGCCGCCTGCAGGTCCTGGGGCAGGGCCAGCAGCGAGTCGTACACCTTGCATTGCATCTGGCCCGTGCTCTGGACCACACAGTTCATCCACAGACCCTCCCAGATGGTCTGGGCAGTCACGATGTTGCTGCCGATGAAGGCTGTCACCCGCCACATGGGCAGCGCACAGGACAGCATGGAAGCCAGCCAGCCCAGCACGGCCAGGGCAATGCCCATTATCTGGAGCCCCATGGACCCCATCCCTCAGCCTGAGATGGAGCCGAAAATGAAGAGAAGCAAGAAACGCTGGAGCTGAGCGCCCAGAGAGGCTGGGGTTCAAGATTTCAGCTTCAAGTTCTCCAGGGAGGGAAATCCAGGTAAGGAGGGAGCTCTGAATGGTCACTTTCCAAAATAAGGCAGATAAAGGCAAGACTTTCCTCCTCCTCGCAGGTGCAACTGATGAAGCTTCCCGCCAGATATTAGGGAGTTATAAGGCTTGAGGGCGTGGCAAGGGGGAGGGAGGAGGAGGCGGGGTTTCGACCTGGGCCTGCATCTGACTAGTTTCTCCAGATTCCTCCCAGTCTAACCAGCAACAAAGACACTTTCAGTCCCCTGGTCACGGCCTCCGGGGAGGAGACTGGGGCCCTGACTCACCCAGCCTGACATCCTGGAGAGTGAGTCTCAGAGGAAACTCAACTCTCCCTTCAAAGTCTCGGTGTGCTGAGGTCAGATCAGAGTCAGACAGGTCTGAGTCAGCTACCCCCCAATAAGAAGGGGGACTTTCCAAGGGCAGGAGGGAGCCAGGGGCCCCAGTCCCTGGGAGGCTGGTCCTGGGGGAACCTCAGTGCAGCTCCTCCCCCGGATCGAACAGCTCTGTCCCACCTAGGGTGGGGAGGGGAGACCTGAGAGTGTGCTAAGGTGGGGTGTGGAAATCCTCCAGGGGAAGGAGGCTGCTACTGTTGCTGTCAGCCCGATTTTAAATAGCAATAACAAAGATAATTAGTATTGTCATCATTACCGGCAGGTGTTGATAGGCGTCAACGTCCTCCTAGCTGGCCTCAGCACTTACCCTGCGCAATCTCATCCAGTAGAGCGAGGGGCTGGCTGTCCAGAACTGGGTCCAGTCCCTTCAACCCATTAATGAACCGCACCCTCCCCACGCCCCCTACGCAAACACATCTTTCAAAAGAGTGTGAATTGAATGAATCTCTCTGATCCTCCTTTCTACTTTCTCTTCTTAAAAAGGGGGAGTGTCTAAAAAGTATACCTTACTAAACTGGCGTGGGGGAGTCTCTTTCAGGAGCATTCCCCTGTTTCCCCTGAGGGTATTGAATAGTCTATCCACAAATCTAAAAATGGAAGGGTCCTTGGAGACCATCTAGTACTACTCCTTTGTTTTACAGATGAGGAAACTGAGGCTCAAGAGGGAACACAATTTGCCCAAGATGAGACAGGTGTGCTGTAGAAAGTGCTGACCTTAGAGTCAGAAGATCTGGGTTCTAATTCTGACTCTACCGGGGGGGGGGGGGGGGGGGGGGCGGGGCGGCCGAGCGGCGGGGGGGGGGGGGGGGGGGGGGTGATAGAGACGACCAGACTAACCATCTGGAGGACAGCAACTTGGCTGTCTGTGTCGCCCTTCTTATCTGTGCCACCTTGAGCAAGGCTCTTAATCTCCCTGTGCCTCAGTTTCCTCATCTGTAAAATGATAGATTTGGACTGGACATCTTCTAAGGTCTCTTCCAGCTTTAAGTCTATGAAAAAGACATTATTAACAGGATTCACAATGGTCCTTACCCCCACAGAGATCCTGGTCTACAAAGGGGAAGCGGGCGATTACCCAAATAACCAGATGAAGTAGGAGAAGTAGTGATGAATGATGTAGTGACAAGTGCCTTCAGAGACCCAAACATATTAGAGGAAGTCAGTAAAGGAAAGAGATCTCCACTGGGGATGGGGATGAAGGGATGAGAGAAGGCTTCCTGGAAGAGGTGGCCTTGGAGCTGGACCCTGAAGATTATTGCTAGGAGGTGGAGAGGGAGGACCCCTTGGGAGAGAAGGCAGCAAAAACACCAAGACAGGAACTAGAGGGGTGTGCCCCAGGCACAGGGAGGAATCCATTAGACCACACAGGGTAAAGTGTGGGGGAGTTGGGTGAGATAAGGCTGGTGCCAGCCTGGGGAATTTGGATTCCTCATTGCTTTAGGGAGATTAATCTGGAGGCAACAAAGAAGCTGGTTTGGAGGAGGGAGAGACTGGTGGTTGGGAAACCAATTAGGAAGTTTCTGCAATAGGCCAGATGGGAGGTAACGAGGGCCTGGATTAGGGTTTTGGCAGTGGAACAGAAAGGAGAGGATAGAAATGATAAACATTGGCAGGTGGGGAAATGGACGGCTTTGCTGCTGCCTGGTTGAATCAGTCAAGGAGTCCAGGAAGGGAGATGTCTGAGAAGGAGGGAAGGAAGGAAGGAAGGAAGAAAGAAAGGAAGGAAGGAAGGAAGGAAGGAAGGAAGGAAGGAAGGAAGGAAG